TCTCTCTCTCTCTCTCTCTCACACACACACACACACACACACACACGCACGCACACACCACAGATCCTGATGGAAGTGGAAAGAGAAATGTTTGAATCTCAGTTCTTTATTCACTGGGTGACTTGGGGCGGGTCTCTCTGAGCTTCCTTCTCTGTGAAGCAGGCTTCCTAGCCATCCCTACCTAACGGAGTTGTTTGGAGGCTTAAGTGAGCTGTTGCTCTAAAGGCCTTATCACAGTGCTTGGCGCACAATATACATTCCCTTTCCTCACATTAAAGATTAGGAGTCTAAAGCACAGAGAGGCGAAGAACCTTGCCCAAAGCCACATAGCTGGCGAAAAAAGTGGCCAGACTTAGAATCTGAGTTTATGTAACCTCATGACCCAAGTAAGCACTCCATGAATGGCAGCTATCACTATTGTATTATTTAGTATCAGCTGATAAAGAAAATAAAGGCGAATGATGAAAGATTAGCAGCCACCTTACCTGGCAGGATCTTTTCCCAGGGCTCTGCTTTCTGGAAAGCCAGGCTACAGCACCCAGAGGAAGCTGGACCCCGGGCCCCTCCCAGCACAGACATCCAGAGTTTGCCTCTTTTCCTGCGGAGGGTAGAGGGAGGAAGTGAGTACCATCCCTTTCTTCCTGCTGCCTGCCAGCAGCATTCCTAGGGGGGGAGGAGGACCTTGGCAGGCCAGCCCCTGGGTCTTATGCTGAAATCACTCGGAGAGGCTGGCCATGGCCTGTGGGAGAAAAAGAGAGAAAGAGGTGGGGATCCCTGCAATAGGTCCAGGCCCTGGAAGGTCAAGACCATGTTCTTCAACCACCTGAAGGACACTCTTAAGATTTGCAAATTTATTTCTATGAAAATCATTGCGAAGATAAACAAATTCAATCATACTTAGTTGTACATTTAATGAACTGTCATTTGGGGGGAAATGATTGCAAATTACATACAAAAAAAGATAATTCAGAAAAAAACCAGAGAGGCAATGATTAAATATTTAAAATGCAGACTGCTTCTAAAAAGCTAGGTTGTAATGTCAAGTTGTTTCCTGGGAAAGGGATCTGGCCCATCTGGCATCGTCCAGCTAGCTATCCATTCATGCATTAGGCTCACTTTCATTGAGAACTTAGTATGTGCCAGGGGCTGTGCTGAGAGCTTTCCATGAGACTCTCACAGCTACCCAATGCCAGAGGTGTGGTTATGATTCCCATTTTAGAAATGCATCAGCTGAGGCTTAGAGAGTTTAAGTGGCTGAATCAAGGAGGCACCGTGAGGAAGTGGCCTCCAACATCCCTCTGAGCATCAATTCTGTGCCAGTTTCTGGAGACCTAGAGATGAGCAAGGCAGGGTCCCAGATCTTGAGAAGCTCCCAGTCTAATCAACCATAAATTCATAAATGTTAGGAGCAAGAGATCATCCCTTCCAGCGATTTAAAATTCTTTTTAAGTGAAGGACATTTTCTCCTTGAAATCTTATGTGAGGCACCATCATTCGAAACGGATGAAAAGGGAACCTACTTCTGGCCAGGAGGGAGATTTCTCTCCCTTTCCCTGGTCCTTAGGTCCCTAGGAGCAGGACCTGCCAGCTCAATTTGAAACCAAATGCCTCATTTTATAGATGAGGCCGCCGAGGCCCAGAGAGGGAAGAAAATTGTCCAGATCGCCAGGATGAGATCTCCAGTTTGTGGAACCCTGGTCTGAGACTCTTCCCAATAGTGCCCCCAGGATGCTGGTGTGCCGGTGCTCGCCCCACACGCCTTGGGCCCGGTGACTGGGGCACAGCACCTAGGCTGCCCAGCCCCGGCCACACCCCGGTGCGTCTGGGGCTTTCAGGTGCCAGAGAAAACAGTCTAAGAGGCCCTTAGTGGAGAGGTGAGAATTTTCAAAAGAACCATTTCTATTCGACCTCAAACACCAGGGGAGGGGAAAGGGCCCTGGCCTGGGAGTCACGAGGCCTCCGTTCAACACCCAGCTCTCCGACTGGGATCTAGTCCGTGTTTCTTCCTCAGTTTTCCGCTCTGTAAAACAAGGGGGTTAAATTACAACAAGTTGTCCGTGAGGTTCGTTCCAGAACGGAGAGTCTAGACCCTTCTGGGCCAGGTCGCTTCTGGGCTTCTGGGCGCATGACAATCTAGATTCCAGTTAGTCAGCAGCGGCCTTCACGCCGTCTCCACTCCCTCCCGAGGGCTGCTGACTCTCGTTCACACTCCCTCCCCCACTCCCGGTTCCCTTCCTTTTCCTTCTCTCCTTCCCAGTTTCCCAACAAGTCACAACCTTGGTTCCTGTCTTGATTTCATCAAAGAAAATCAAAAGGGATTCTAGAGACCATTTATTTGTCCAGTCGCCTAATTGTGTCAGTGGAGACACCGAAGCCAGAGAAGGGAGTGATTTCCCTAAGGTCTGCGAGAGGGAGGCGGGCTCTCTGCCACCAGGACCAGGATCGCCTTCTGTTGTCCAGGACTAAACTCTTGGGGCTCCTAACTTTTGAGAAAAAGGGCTTCTTGCTTAATACACTTAGAATCGTGTTTCCCAATTGTGGGATGTCAGAGATCTTCAAGGACATTTCAGGTCATGCATCCATGGGCCTTCAGTACCCTAACTGACCTCCCCAGGAGTTGGGGGTGGGGAGTCTCTTTCCACTTCTCTCTCTCTCTCTCTCTCTCTCTCGTAATCTTTTCGATCACAACCTGGAAGTCTCAGTTTGTTGCTAATGTGTCTTTAACACCCTTCCAGCGCCCACTAATCTCTCTTTTCTATAGACAGTGGGCCCCCAGCTCTTTCTTAGGCTGCAGTACCTTAGTGGATATATATATATTTTTTTTTATTGTGGTTAAGTATACATTGTTAGAATTTAATAACACTGCTTTATTTTCATTGTATTTGTTTTTATGGTTACTTTCTATTTATAGTAATGCGATGCTGGTTTTCCATTTATGGTAATGATATAACATTTCTTTGCAAAACATTTAAGTAAAAAAAAAAAAAAGAAATAAAACAAGAATTGATTTAAAGAAAGCTATTAAGCAAATGGTTCTATCTGGTGTGCAGATAGGGCCAGAATCTGGTTGGAGGCAAGGGAATGGCTGAGGTCTAGGGAACTTGGACTTGGAACTGGAACTATCTTCTCAGCTGGGTATCTGAGTTGTCCAATTGGCCTGCTGGGTTCTAGTCTCCTTGCACACTCCCTTCCCCCACTTCCTCCTGCCTACTTCTACCAATCCCCCAGACCCTCAGAAACGCCATCCCTCCCTCCTGCTGTCTCTGGCCTCCACTTCCCAGGCCCCAGCACCCTCACTGTAGGCTCATGTTTTTTTCCTCTTTAAATTTATGTGGCGCCTTGTGTCCAAGGAGGCCCACACAGATAGCCTCTTCCAATAGCATTCCATAAACGCAAGGCCTGTGGGGTTTCTCAGCACAAAGGGTCAGCCTCTCCCTCCAACCCTGTTTTGGCAGCTGAAGGGGTGAGTGTGGAGCCTGAGGCCCTTTACCGTTTTCCCTGTCCATGTGATACTGAATTTGCACTATTAGAGATTTTCTCTCCTTGGGTTAAACATTGCTCACGCTGAGTCCTTTTAAAAATTGCAGATCCCAGTTTTTTTTTTTCTCCTAGCCACACTTCTACTCTATTAGGCCTTCTTCAATTTACCCAGCAACTCAGTGAAATGGCTGAAAGGACCAGCCATCCTCAAAGTCCTTAGAAGGTTGTATCCTTTTCCCGGAACGTGGGCAAAAAAGGCCATTCTGCTCCATGGTCTGGCGTCACCAACATTCATATCCGAAACTGCAGTAGGTTCAACTCTTATCAGTCACTCATTCCTTAGTATGAATCAGTCGACCAAGGGGCCTCCTGCAGAACTTCTGTGTGCTTGAACGTCCAGGGCCAGCAGACACCAGGTATGGAAGCTTCAGAGCTGGGACTCAAAAGAGAGCTGCCCAGGAAAGAGACGAGCCCCTCTGGTCTGGGGTTAGCAAGCACTTCCACTTGGACTGTCTGCTTTGATCTGCTTGCTTACACATTTGTCCAGGGCCGGCAGGGTGGGTAGGTGCCTTCCAGAGGAGGTTCAGAGGTGAAATCTCTCAGTGGTTATGTATTCAGGCTGAGGAGGGGCTATCAGGGCGTGTGGTTGCGGCAGCAGTACAAAGATGAAAAGATAAGTCCTGAGATTGGAGACACAGATCTGGCCTCTTGTAATGAAGTCATTTGCATCTGATCTGGGGTCCGGCTTATCCCTGCTGCAACCCTCCAGTTGCCTCTGTTATCTGCAACAATCTAAAGCAGCACAAGGAGGGTGAATCCCCCTGGCTTTCAGCAGGTACTCCCAGGACATCGGGAAGCCCAGGAATGAGCGAGGTCCGGATGGAGGGTCACCCCCCTCCAATACTGCAGTTGGGCCACAGGGCGAGGGGTGCAGCTTAAAGTTTTCCTCGAATAAATACTCCAGGTCTAGCGTGCCACTCTGCCCGCTTTCCCAAACGTATCTTCTCAGATGAGACGGAGCGAGGGCCCACGAGCAGAAGAGGGAGGCAAGCAGGCGGCAAAGACAGGGGAGAGGGGCAGAAGGTGGCCCCCGTGCCCCCGGAGCAAGGCCTGGACGCTCTACTGAAGGCGGAGACGAACGCGGGGAGGAGGCTAGAAGCAGCCCGCCAGAGGAGACGTGCCTTCACAGCGGCCGCCAAGGCAGTGGTGGCGGCGGCGACTGGAGACTGAAGGGGAGGACGTTTGGGGAGGGGCGGGAGCGCGGGGGAGAGGGAGGGACGGAGCCCTGGGTGGGAGGTGGGGC